ACTTGTAGCATTACAGTTCAGTTTGCTACTGACTGTACCATCAGGCTTTACTTCTATTTTTTTTTTAAGAATTATTTGTTTATTTAATTCCATTTATTTATTTATTTGTTTGTTTGTTTATTTATTTATTTTAATTTGACCAGAGAGAGATAGGGTAAGTGAGAAAGCAAGCTGCCAGGTCTGGGACTTGAACTGCAATCCCTTCTCAATTCTCCTCTCAGGATTTTGGGCACACACTCACACATGCCCAGCATTGAGTTTTAAGCCACTGGGTCTGGGACTAGAACCATGGTTGACTATGTGTGAGTCCAGTGACATAACCATTACACCATCTACTGGTCCCACTCCTGCTTTTCAAAATGTAAATGTTTTATAAGTGTGATGTGAGGGAACTCCTTGAAAAGGGTATCTTAAGAATTCAGAATAAAATCAGATAAATCCCTGTGGTCCTGGCAATGGTCGGGGAGCACAACTGTTGCCATCCATATCCTATTTGTTAATGAAAGTACAGAACATTCAGAGAACTACAGTTAGTGTGAGGTGACTAGGGCAGAGGAAATAAGGAAACCCGTCGAGTGAACTGAGGCTCCAGAGGCAGGCGTTAGCCAGACCATGCAAGGCCTTATGTCCTTAGAATTTATTCCACAGGTTTGTGAAGTCGTTGAAGACATTTGAGCAGAAGAGTGATGCACCAGGCCTACTGCTGGAAAGATCATTCTGGTATTGGTTAGATGGATAAATAAAGTTCATGTTAAAAATTGAAATACAGTCCCATCTGCAGCTCCACATGCTGCTAAGATGCTTCTGCTCCATAGGCTGGGGCCACATGGAAGACCAGGCATTGTGGAGTGTGCTCGCAACCCCAGAACTTGGGAGGCCGAGGCAGAACGATCCCTAGCTCAAGACTGGCCCAGGCAACATGGCAAAACTGTCTAAAAAAGAGCCGAGCAAGGGAACCAGTAGTTAGCGTAATGGCTATGTCGCTGGACTCCCACGTAGGCGACCGCGGTTCACGTCCCAGACCTGGTGGCTTGAAACTCACGCCAGGCACGTGTGCGTGCGTGCCCAAGATCCCGAGAGGAGAATGGAGGAGAAGGGATTGCGGCGTGACCATCCCCTCTGCGGGGGTGATTTCTCGCTTTCTGTCTCTACGTCTCTGTCTGTCTGGCGAGTGCACGCGCCCTATAGCGAAAAAAAACCTCTCCAAAAAAAATCAGAGCCGAGCATGATGGCACCTGCCTGTAGTACCAGCTGAGAGGACAGGAGGATCATGAATGGCAAGACCTTGCATCACTTAAAATCATTTTTTTAAAGTTGTAATACATATAAAAGACTTTTAAAATTACAACTGGTTTCTAAATAAATCTAAGAAACTTCGTAAAGATCTAAGTTGAGGTCAAGAAAATCTTTATAAGCAAGAATAAAAATGGACAAGCTATAAAGGAGCAGATAAACTTATTTATTGTTTAGAAACTTAAACTTTTTATGTGGCAAATATACCACAAACAAAATGAATAGACAAATGACAGATTGGGGCGAGGGACCTTCCAGTTCAGAAAACAGAGATTATCTACAGCATACAACCATCTCTGACAAATTGACAATTAGAAGGATAAAAAAAAACACAACAGAAAGATGGGCAAAGGACCTAAGGAAAGCAATTATTAAAGGAATTATTCTTCACAAGTAACAAATATATTTTTAAATGTCCAAATCCGTAAGTAGTCAGGGAAACACAAATTAAAGGAACAATGAGCTATTGCTATATATCTAACAAACTAGCATATAGAAAAGAATAATTATATCAATTGCCAGCAAAACTGTACATATTCATTGTTGAAAGAAGTAAAATTAATATAGATAATACATTAAAAGTATTAGCATTTGGGGCCAGCAGGTGGCATGGTGGCTAAGGCACTGAACTCCCACGTGGCTAATCATGGTTCGAGTCCTGGACCTGGTGGCTTGCTTTCTTGCTCTATCTTTTTCTCTGTGCCTCTCTCCCTCTTTCTATTTCCCTCTGGTGAGTGTGTGTGCCTCATAGAAAATTAAATAATAATAATAAATAAATACCTTTAAATAGATCATTTTAAAAGAGTAATAGTACTCAAAAGTAATCTGACAAAAATCTATCAAAATTTAAAATGTAGGAGCCGGCAGGTGACATGGTGGTTGAGGGCACTGGATTTCCACATGGCTAACTGTGGTTCAAGTCCTGCACCTGGTGGCTTGCTTTCTTACATTCTCACTTTCTCTCTCTCATTCTCTCTCTCACTCTCTGTTCCTCTCTGGCCAAATTTAAATAAATAAATAAAGTTAAATAAATAATTATTTTTAAAAATTTCAAATATATATGCACTTTGAATCAATAACTCTCCTACTGAAAAATCTAATCCATAGAATTAAAAGCATCTACATAATAGAATAAACAAAAAGGTTTCATGTTGCATTGTTTATAGGAACAAAACGATGAAAACAAATTGAAGTTCTTTAGTAGCAGAATGCTCAATAATTTTTGATGTCCTAACAATATGGAATCTGGATTACCATTTTAAGAAGTAAGTAGAGCTGAGTTGGTCACAAAGGCAGTGGTTGAACATTGTGCGTGGGGAGCCAGATCCCACACGGTAGACTACAGTTCAAATCCTGGCCCTGAAGGCCTAAAATACATGCTGGACACATGTAATTGAGTTCCTGTCCAGATGGAAAAATGGAAGACAAATTATTTCAGGGTGACCACACACCACTGGAGGGTACTTTCTCTCTCACTCAGTACATGCATGTACCCTCAACAATTACGATGGCAATTACAAAGGGTCGGGAGAGCTATGCCAGAAAAGCTGTTACTGATTAAAAAAATCATGAATAGGGGCCAGTAGATGGTGTAATGGTTATGTCACTGGACTCCCATGTAGTTGACTGCAGTCTGAATCCCGGACTTGGTAGCTTAAAACTCATGCTGGGTGTGTGTGCATGCATGCCCAAAATCCCAAGAGGAGAGTAGAGAAGGGATTGCAATGTGACCATCCCCCCTGGAGGGTGATTTATCACTTTCTGTTTCTCTGTCTTTCCAGTGAGCACACATGCCCTATTGCAAAAAATCTCTCTCTAAAAAGGAAAGAAAGAAAGAATAAAGAATAGAGAACACATAAAACTGAGAAGACATTTAGTTTACAAAGACCATGGACTCAGAAGCTGCACCACTGGGAATCAAACCCTAGCTCTACCACCCTTCACTCACTGTGTAATCTTGGAAAAGTTGCTCAGTCTCTCAAAACTTCAGTTTTATTATCTGTAAAATGCCTCGAAGAAGTATAAAAGTAATTGAGTTATGACACATTAAGTACTTAGAACAATGCCTGGCATACAGTACACACTCAGTAAACACTTCCTGTTATTACCTGATCCAGTCATTTCAAGGCAATGAGTGCAAATCTCATATGTGCACATGTATGCAAAGTCCTCTCATGTTCTACTGCTGTCCTATTTTCCTCAGAGGCACTGAACATCTTCATGATTACTAATATAATTGATTTATTTTCTTTGTCTATCTCTTCCCTCTTTAGAATTTAAGCTATATGAAAGACTGGATAGTGTTGGTTTTGTGATTGCTGTATCCCCAATGCCTGGAATGGTTCTGGGCAGGTAGCAGGCACTTAAAAAATATTTGTTGAATTAAATAATATGTGTACATAAGTATTGTCAGGAGACTATTCTCTAGTGAGTCTTCGATATTTCTGCACATTTTGAGAGAAGTCACATTAGCTGCCTTTGATCTAAACTACATTTTCAAGGATATTTGTGTACTGAAAAGCCTTGGAAGATAGGTAGGTGGTGGCTCCCTCCAGAAGGCAAGTCACTTAATGTCCAGAATAATAAAGAATGATCTCCCTTTGAGGGCAATGGTCATGCAAGCTTAGTGTTCCTTATTCCTTACATTCCCCAGTGTTCCTTATCCTAAGCTTTGGGTCTCTGTCATGTAATACAGCCGACTGCATCTGCAGGTGTCAGTTGGCTCTTGTATGACCATATGGAAGCCAGTATCAAGGAACAGCACAAATACTGATGCTCTGACTACTGTTACTGTGACTAGCTAATCATTCTTTGTCTCTGACCCAAGAGTTTCCTGTTTTCTGCAATATCCATGGAATGGTAACCAATTTATTAGCTTGAAAGCAGAGTGAATTCTCAGGTGTACTACAATTCTTGACATGTTTATGCACACATATGTGTTTCTGTGAGTATGTGAACATAGAGAAAAATATGAAAGAGTGAATACTAGGCTAACAAATTTGGAGTATGGAAAGGCAGGATTGAGAGGGTTAGGGGGGAAAATGGGAAGGAGAAACAGTCCAAACAAAGATGGCAGTGACTAAGTCATCGGTACTAAGAAATCTAAATCAACTCAAACACCAGCCAGATGTAGGGAAGGCTTGTATGATGCCTCACCAGAGCCAACAGGTGTGTCCTCACATTTTGATATTTCACTGCATACATGATAAGAAGGATGAACTGAGATCATTTCAAATAAGCTCTTAGCATTTCTGAATATTTGTTCACGTTCCAATCTCTTAGCAATCTACATGCTCTGAGAGCCTTGCCCAACTCTCATCAGTTGCCACTTTAATCTACAGACGTGAATTCTCCGGTCGTTTTTGTTTTGTACTTCACAACAAAGCCTTCATTTCCTGGGTAAGGATATTATTTTTAAAATAAATAAAGGTTATATTGAGAGGGGTTTTTTTTTAAAAGAAGGTCTTTGAAATGCCATGCTTGTCATCATAGTCCTACTGAAATAACCTAGTCTTTCTAGAAAGAAAATTTGATGAAAGAAAATATGAATCAGCTACACTTTATCTGCTATGCTGTTTCATACTGGAATTCTTCTACAAGCAACTTTAAAAGCTTTGAAGGATCTGCAAGTAAAGCAGGGACTGGGTTGAAAATAAATAGGAAAGTGAAGGGAACTGACTTTTGTATGACACCATGAATATACATACCAGCCTTTGCAACAGCCTGAGTTGCCTGGGGACCCTGAGTCCAACCTAGAAAACGAGAAGAGACAGGAAATATGATTGTGAGATCATTATTCAATGAGTTATATAAGGGGGTTGAACTAGGTTCAATTTCACCTAAAGGACTATCCATCCTGAAAAACAATTTTTACTTTCTATTTGTTTGTTTCCAGGCCAAAATTAGAATTTATCCTTCTTAGATTTTATTGATTCTTAACCCAGGAGGTTGGTCACCTAAGTGTTCTTAAATCTATTAAAAGAGTACACATGAAATGACAAGGAAAAAAGAGACAAGTAAAATATTTATATTCTATTTCACGTTATTTTGGACTTCAAATTGAGTTCTTTGCAATTATGTCTAGTATGTGAGTAATGGTATTTAGCCTTATTCTGAAAACTCCAGGAAACTCTGGAAGCAAAACCAAACCTACCTGCATTTCTTTTTCTTGATGACTTGTTATACTTTTCCACATGAAGAAAAGCAGTGATAAAATCATCTTTTAAAAATTTCACATTATAATTAACCAGCCTTGGGGCCAGCAGGTGGCATGGTGGTTAAAGGCACTGGACTCCCCCATGGCCAACTGCAGTTCAAGTCCTAGACCTGGCAGCCTACTTTCTCACTTTCTCTCTGTACAAATCCTACACCTGAAACCCTACTATCTCTCTTTCTCTCTCTCTCTCTCTCTCTCTCTCTCTCTCTCCATCTCTGGTGAAATTAAAAAATAAATAAAGTTAAATAAAATAATTCTTTAAAAAATAATAATTAACAAACCTGTTTGGACAAATTTAAGTCTTAGGTGGTTGTTGAACATTATTCAGGGCAAATCTCCACTTAAATAATAGAAGCATAAACTGTTATTGCTGCAATATATTGATAACCTTTTTTTTTTTTTTAAGAGAGATTTTGCTATAGGGTGTATGCACTAGCCAGAGAGAAAGACAGGCAGAAATTGAGAAATCACCCCCCGGGGAATGACTATGCCACAATCCCTTCTCCTGTATTCTCCTCTTGGGATTTTGGGCATACACACACATGTACTTGGCCTGAGTTTTGTGGGGTTTTTTTGTTTGTTTGTTTGTTTTTTCTTTTTGAGAGGTTTTTTGCTATAGGGCGTGTGCGCTCACGAGAAAGACAGAGAGGGAGAGAAAGACAGAAAGCGAGAAATCACCCCCCACCCCCACCCGCCAGGGGTAATGGTCATGCCACAATCCCTTCTCTTTCATTCTCCTCTTGGGATCTTGGGTACACATGCACATGCGCCCAGCATGAGTTTAAGCCACTGGATCTGGGACTCGAACTGCAGTCAATTACATGGGAGTCCAGTGACATAGCCATGACCCCAACTGCTGGTCTCTCAACCTGGCTTGAGTTTTAAGCCACCAGGTCCAGCACTCGAACCACAGTCAACTATGTGGGAGTCCAGAGATATAACCATTATGCCATCTGCTGGCCCCTATTGATTTAATTTTTAAGAAGTTAAATTAGGTAACAAAACACTATGCTTAACAGGATCCTATCTTTGTAAACCTAAGTGTTCTTATGTGTAAAATATGTGCCAAGATGCCAATAGCTGTTACTTTTAGGTGGTTGAAATCTTTTCATTTAAACTTTTCTGCACAACCTGAGGTTTTGACAAGTTGGCATAGCTTACTTCCATGGTAGAAAAAAGATAGTATGATTTCATTTTAAAATTTGAAGTACAATAGAAATTGTTTTAACCCCATCCTCTCCTCATCTGCCAAATATGGAGTTGTTGGAAAAGTCATGATGTGTTTTTCTATGCAAAAATGTGTTATGACTTCTCCGACAACCCTATATATATTTATACACACACACACACACATTCATGTGTATGTAGAGAGAAAGAGAGAGAATTATAAATTGTGATTATATGTCATGATAGAGCTTCCTATTGAAACAAACACGAAAAGAAAGTACAGGTTTTAGGCTGATAACCACCCTGACTCCAAATAAGAACCAAGTAATTCCTAGGAGGATGCTGATTTCAGACTTCTAAAATGAGGTAGAATGTACACAAGACCATCAAAGAAAGTAAGGATTCTGGGCAAGTTCTTTGCCACGTCTGAAGGTTCATCTCGGGTCTTTCCCTCCCTAAAACATGAAAAAGGTTGAGAATCACTCTGTTCAAAAAAAAAAAAAAAAACAGCCCATCCCTTCTCAGGTATTAAGTTCTCTGATCTAAAGTATTTTCTTTGAAGTTTTTTTCCTTTGTAAAATAGGTTTTCCAAGAAAATAAGCAAACTTTAAGAAAAGCAAGAGAAGTTGGTTTTTCATTTTTCGGACAACCAGCATCTCAGGGGATTGCTATGGCTACACTTCAGTCCAAGTTTAAACTCAGATTGACCCAGAATCAAAACTTCCTGGTGTACACAGACTCCTAGTGCCTGTTAGGATTGGAAGTGGGAATGGCGCCATTGTCATCGTTGTTTTAGTTACAAATTCCTGATCTTTTTTTTTTTTTAATCATTTGACTGTTTTCTCATTACCTCATAAGAACTTGGGCATGGGGATGGGGACAAAGAAGTAACTGACTAGTTTCAGCCAAACACCTTCAACTGACGGAGGTTATGTTTTCTTAGAGGAATCTGTATAAGAGATTTCTGTACCATCGGCCCCCATTCTCCTGAGGGTGCTCTGAAATTCTAAGACTAAGTGACTAAGGGGTCACTACCTCAAAGATCTGCTATAGGGCCTGGACCGAAACCATGGGCTAGACATTGGGAAGTCATTTGAGATGCCATTTATCGGCCTGGCTGAGGACAGTCACCCTGGGAGTAGTCCCATTTGAGTCATTCTGTATTATCTGCACAAGATTTTTCTTCCTTTGAAGGACTATTGCTGCAAGTTGCTCAGTTCTTATCCATCTGCAATATGGGTACCTTAACTTCAGCAATAGAAGAAGAAACTTGATAGTTGGGCTAATATTCCAAACGATTTCCAAACAGATTAAAAATTTTAAGAAGCAACTGACCTTAGTAAGTTTCCTTCTTTCTTTCCCTTTTTTTCCTTTTTATTTCTTATTTACATTTAATTGTTGTACATCTCTATCTAGCACACACAATATGGTTTTTCAGAACATACATGTATTCAGCTGTTAGAAAAGCCATGCTCATTTTTGCAAAGAAAAACAGAAAAATACATCGTGACTTTTCTGACAGCCCAACAGTATATGAAAATCAAATCAAGGATATTACCATACACATTATTTCCATCAGAAAGTTTTATAGTCTTATATCTACTACGCGTTTCTTCCCGAGCCCCTCCCAGCCACCCTCTGCTCTCCACAGGCCTCCTACAGTCTCTGGTATGTACAGTCATTCTTTCTACCATTATATCCTCAAATCTTTCCATTTCTACCACAGAGTGCAGTCTTTCCTTTACCTGTGAAAAATCAAGTAATGGACCTTGCTTGCAAGAAAATAATGAGTGCTTCAAGACATCCCACCCCATCAAAAAAGTTCAGGTCTTCCTTCTAAGACTCCCTCTTCTTAAATCAACCCTGCTGTTCCTTTGAAACAATGCTGCAGCTCCCGACTGCAATTTGACAGCACAAGAAGCTTTAATTTGAGAATCCAAGACTTTGGAGAAAGTGCTAATTAAGATCAGAAGGCACATACAACTCATCACACGGTTCTCAGGACTCCCCCACCCTGCCCGTCTGCCCTGAAGAAAGCGAGATGGCTAGCTTAAGAGTGAGCAAATCTCTGGAATTTCTCCCACCGCATTCTCCTTCCCCATTCAGCTCTTCAATTCCACTTCAACAATCACACCCATGCATATAGGGAGATATTACCGAGGGTCTGCAGCTTGTAAAGTCTTCTACTGAATTTATTTTTTGACGAGTTGAAAATTTATAGTTTTTATGATCCGAACTCCCATCTCCGAAATGTAAAGAGCTTTTATATAAAGCTCCTAGAAAACTCTCTGGAACATTATGGACACTCAATAACGGGTGGTTGTTATTCTTTTTTACATTTAAAACTGCTTTTATTATACAGGTTCAGTAGCCCCTATCCAAAATGCTTGGTACCAGAAGAGTTTCAGATTTCAGATTTTTGGGGGGATTTTTGATATGTGTGTGTGTGTATGACTGACTGAAGTTATGTGTTTTGAGATGACTATCTGATATCCCAAGGCATCACTATGGCTATACTTCAGTCCAAGTCTAAACTCAGAATGATCTAGCATCAACATTTCCTGGTACAGAGATTCCTGGCGTCAGTGAGGACTGGACGTGGGAATAGCACCAATGTCATCATTGTTGTTTTAGTTAGAAATCCCTAACACTCTTTGTTTGTTTTCCCCTTACCTTGTGAGAACCCGGGGGCCAGTGTGTGAGGATAGAGAAGTAACCGGCTTCATATGTATATGCAAATATATCATACATATATATAGTGAGATTATCTAGGGGACCGGCAAGTTGAAACATGAAATTCATTTATGTCTCATATACCCTTCATACATATAGCCTGAAAGAAATGTCATACACTATTCTGTATTGTAGTATTTTGACTACAAATTGTCACAGGAGCTCAGGTGTGGAATGTTACACTCATGACATCATGTCAAACACTCAGAATGCTTCCAATTTTGGAGCATTTAAGATTTCAGATTTTAGGGAAGCTCTACCTATAATAGGAATACAACATTAACCTTATTTAAAGAAATTGTATAAATTTAAAACTTAAAAGCAAGTAAGTCAGTAGACTGATTTTAAGGAAGAGAGTTTCTTTTTAATATTAATTTCCATGAAGATCCTTTTAAAGCAGCATTACGGGGACCAGCAGTTAGCATAATGGCTATGTCGCTGGACTCCCACGTAGTCAACCATGGTTCGAGTCCAGACCCGGTGGCTTAAACTTATGCCAGGTGCATGTGTGTGCATGCCCAAGATCCTGAGAGGAGAAAGGAGGAGAAGGGATTGCAGTGTGGCCATCCTCCCTGGAGGGTGATTTCTCGCTTTCTGTCTCTCTGTCTCTCTCTGTCTGTCTGGTGAGTGCACATGCCCTATAGCAAAAACCTCTCAAAAAAAAAAAAAAGCAGCATTACAAAAAGTATGACCCATGGATCACCTGCATCAGAATCATCTGGACCCCACCCTAAATCTAGTGGTTCTAAATTCATGAGACTGAAACTCAGGAGTGTTCAATGAATACCCTGAGTGACTTTGGCCCACCAAAGGCTGAAACCACTGCTTTTAATGTTCAGTCCACTACGGGTAATACTGTTTACAGGTGGGATGGAGAGTGAAGAGTAGAAGAACTTGAGTTTAAGGTGTTATCTGTATATTTTCAATTAAAGGTAAATGATAAGAATTGTAATGCAAGTTAATATGCATATTCAATTACATTAAAATTTGAGTGAATGCACTTGCTTCATTATATTTAAAAGTTTAAGTTAAAATATAACTTTAAAGTCCTTAATTATTGAGAATAGAGGGGCCAACAGGTGGTGTGGTTTAAGGTGCTGGACTCCCACATGGCTGACTGCAATTAGAGTCCCAGACCTAGTGGGTTGCTTTCTCACTTTCCCTCTCTCTCTCTTGGTCTGTCTGTCTGTCTCTGGCGAGCACACGTGTTCTGTAGTAAATTAAAAATGAATAATAATGATAAATAAAATTAAATTAATAATTTTTAAAGTTATTAAGTATAGAGCATCACTTTCCCTCTCTCTCTCGGTCTGTCTGTCTGTCTCTGGTGAGCACACGTGTTCTGTAGTAAATTAAAAATGAATAATAATGATAAATAAAATTAAATTAATAATTTTTAAAGTTATTAAGAATAGAGTGTTAACTAAATTCACAGGTTCTATTCTTTTTCATAATTGATTTTTATTATATAGAGTAGGAACCAAATTTTATTTATTTTATTTTATTTAAATTGTTTATTTAACTTTATTTATTCATTCATTTATTTTAATTTGACCAGAGAGAGAGGGAAAGTGAGAAAGCATCCTACTAGGTCTGGGACTCCAACCAAGGTCGGCCACGTGGAAGTGTCCAACCCCTTAACCATCACGCCACCTGCTGGTCCCACACAGGTTCTATTCTAAGACTGAAGTATATCAATATATCCACTCTTCAAAATATTTTCAATTAAGTAATCTCATCATTTTCATTCAGTGATAGAGGTTCACAGACATTCAGCAAGACTCCAATAAGTGCAAGTATGGATTTGAACCCAGACAGTCTGGTGCTGAAGCTGGTGCTCTTATAACCTCTGTCACATGCACACAATTAAGAAAAAGAGTAGAGATGAAAGGTAAAATGGCAGATTTTTACAGAACTTTATACCTTGAAGTGGATTTTGTTCCTGTCATGTACAAGATAAACAAACATTGGGATCACCAGATGGTGTAATGGTTACATCGCTGGACTCCCACGTAGTTAAATGTAGTTCGAGTCCTGGACCAGGCAACTTAAACTCACGACTCATGCTGGGCATGTGTGGGGTGTGCCCAAGATCCGGAGAGGAAAATGGAGGAGAAAGGATTACAGTGTGGCCACCCCCTACGGGGGTTGATTTCTTGCTTTCTGTCTCTCTGTCTCTCTTTCCGGTGAGCACACATGCCCTATAGCAAAAACTTATCTAAAAAAAAAAAAAAAAGAGAGATAAACACTATTATGGGTTGAAGACAGCACAAAATCACTAAATCAGGCTAAACCCATGTTTTTCTATGAAGGCAAGTTAAAGAGTGTTAAGACTACTCGGTCTTGTAGATATTGGAGCTTTACTTGGTCCTCCTAGTTTATAAACACAATCTTTGTTTCAGTCCTTCCCACACTCTCCTCCCTCCACCCCTCCAAAAAAGTTTCAAGATCTTTACCCTAAATTCCTTCTCTCAGCACTGCAGCTGCACAAGTCAATAGCCAGGGCTAACAGTAAGTGCCAACACTGTTTTAAGCACTGAAGGTGTACTATTAACTCACTCAATCCCACAGCGCTATATTTTCCCACTATTAACAGGAAAAGAAATTTAGACACTAAGTAACTTGCTAACTTGCTCAGGGTAATGAGATGGTAAGTGACAGAATCAGATCTCTTAACTCCAACAGCCTGGCACCAAGGCCACACTGTTAACCACTTACCAAAACATCTATCATTTACCAAGTCCCCCCTGTCTACCAGGTTCCTAACACAAACTAGCTGAATTCTTACTATGCTCAAAAGGAGTTGTATTCCCGGGAACCAGCAGTTAGCGTAATGGCTATGTCGCTGGACTCCCATGTGGTCGACTGCGGTTCGCATCCCGGACCCGGTGGCTTAAAACTCACGCTGGGCGCATGTGTGTGTATGCCCAAGATCCTGAGAGGAGAATAGAGGAGAAGAGATTGTGGCATGACCATCCCCCGTGGGGGGTGATTTCTCGCTTTCTGTCTCTATGTCTCTCTCTGTCTGTCTGGCGAGCACACGCGCCCTGTAGCAAAAACCTCTCAAAAAAAAAAAAAAAAAAAAAGGAGTTGTATTCCCTACTCTGGTCAAAAAGGGAAGGAAGGTTCCAGATCAAAACGTTAGCCTTAGCCTAGGCCATGCAACAGTAAGTGGCAGAGTGGAGACCAGCCTGCCTCTCTGGATCCAAAGCCTGCATTTTTCTATACCACCTCAAAGCCTTCTGAGGTTCTTACTGGTTATTCCTCCTAACAACCCCAACAACCCCAAGAGAGAATTAGCATCACTCCCTTTTACAGATAAGCACGTTGATAAGACAGAGTCGGCATGAAAATAGCCATCTGCTGTTGGGGCAGATTCCGATTTCCAGATGCGCTCTCAAAACAAGAGTCTGGGAAAGGGGCAAGAAAGTATGCCTACTTATTATCTCCCTCCCATCAGGAGAAAATGTGCTTTAAGCTCAGCAATTTAAATATTACTTAAATGATGACTGTATAAACAGCCCTGTCTTATCATGACAGCCATTTATGTGTATGAGGTTTTTACAATGATAGTGTGTGAACCTGCTTTATACTTTTCAAAGAGCTTTCCTAGTCATCAGGCGTTGTGGTAAGATTTCATATGTGCAAGTTTTATTCAGCTGTGCGGTTAAAACTCACACCCTGGCAAATGTGCTGAAAATGAGTGGAGGAACTGAAAGCCCTTGGTTCTTGTTGCTGGCCCTGCTGTGCTACAGCACTGGCAACTGAATGGGAAGGTTCTCCCTGTTTTCAGATGGGAAAAGCTAGGGCTTCCAGGAGTATGGAACTTTCCCCAGACTGTCCTTTCCCCCCAGGATGAATGAGGAACAGCAGTAACAGCAAACCACCCCATACATGCATGGTAGGGAAATGCTGAAAATTATTGGAGGCAGGGGCTATTGAAATGAACGACTGGCAGCAATCTGCGCAGGTAACAGAAGCCAGGAAGAAAACTTGGTTCTGCAAGACTCTGAAGTACTAGACCCAGTTCTGCAGGAAACCTCGGGGCACAGGGCAGGTACCGCGGACAATGCAGAGTCACCCGCAGGCGACCTACGGGAACTCTCAACTCTCGAGCATAAGGCTGGAAAAGGAACGATATGAAAGGACAGGGCTGATGCCTCCCTTCCTCGTTACCAGGACCAGAGCAAAGGGAGTTTGCCAGAAGCCACGCGGCCCAGGGAGGAGGAGGGAAGGAACAGTGGCTCTCCAACTTACTTGCTCCGAAGTGTCAACCCAGCTGGGCTCCTCTTCCTGCGACCCCGCGCAGAGGGTCAGCGCCAAACACAACCCCAGCAGCAGGAGCATGGCGGAGCAGGAGCCCGGCGATCACACCAGACCCGTAGGGACACGCAGGACAGCGCCCAGGGCTCGGGACACCGCAGGGCGCGCTCCGGCCCCGCCCCTCGCCCTCACTCCCGGTCCCGCCTTCCCCCTCCCCTCCCACCTCC